TCCAGTATTGGCACTTTCGCCGTCAGTTGTTAAGCCAGTTAACTTTTCTTTGGCTATATCTTCTTAACCAAGTTTTTTTAAAGTACTTAAAATACAATCAAGTAACCCTTCTGCACCACGTTTGCTTGAATGGCTTTCACCTAAGAAAACGTTTTTAATGGCATTTGTTTTGTTTAAATAGCGAGCAGTAATAAACTTATTGTCTACTGAATATTTATCAACCGATCCATCGATTTGAATTGAGAAACCAATAGAATTTTTCAACTCTTATGATACAGGCTCCATAACAATTTCAGCAATTATATCTTACATTTCACGATAAATATTTGGATCTTTATAATGTAGGACAGCATCAGAAGGATTAAAACTAACGAAATTTGAGTCTAAACCATGTTCATGATAAGTTGAAATTTGAGGGTCAGAATGTATTTTAGAGAGTGACCTAGATGGCCAGGAATTCGCAGATAAGGTCATTATTCTACTGTCGTTATGAACATCAATAGCTAACTCAATTAAATTGGAAACAACTTCCGACTCATGAGATTTTAAAAGTTTTAACCAAGGATGTTTATCTGATTGTGACATCCAAAGTATCTGAGTTTCTTCTGCAGAACATGCAGCGTTATGAGCGTCACTATTTTAAATAGTCTACAATTCTCATGAGTTCTTTTTTTCCATCACATCTATTCCCGTCGGCTATTGGAACTTGTGCGTTGCGAGACAACTTTTTGGATTGTGAAATTTGATTAAAACATAAAATACATTGAATACCTGATCGTTTTCCTAATTTTACTTTCTTCAAAAATTCGAATGTTTTAATTAACCAATTAGCATCTAACTTGGACCCTTTGTACCATTGATGATGTACCACTCGATGAAGGACAATCAATTATACCCTCTACTTAATTTATAGTTAAAGAAGTATTAGAATTTGAAGCTTCAGCAGGTACATTTTGAGGTAAAATATAAGATTCAGAATTAGAAGGTTTTTGTTTTTTTGAGGATACTCCAAAAAAATCTGTTATGCGTTTAGCCATAGCGATTTGAATTTGAATTAACCTTAAATATAAGAATTAAAGAATTATAAATTGAAAATTGATTATAAAATGTATATTGTATACTAGTGTATACATNGTTGCGTTGTGTCCACCGCCGCGTACTACCGGTCAACTTAAATACAAGAGATTTTCCTGTGACCCATAACCCATTGATATATTATATTTTATTCGGTATTTAATGGGGCTGCACTATAAAGTATAATTATTGTATGTTTAGAAAAAAAACCAGCTGGCTATCTTATATAAAATCATAATTTAAATGTCTATACTCTAGAGCCTAGGCAATCAAAATTATCCAATTTACTATTCAATATTTTATTTTATTAAATCTTTACAAGTTATTAAGGTACTTACCAGTTATATTGTCGATAAAAATTCAGACACATAAAAAGCCAGTCTACACTCTATGGACGTCGTCAGTAGTCACAGTGCAAGACAAATGTTGAATAACTATTAATTAATATTATTGATAATACCGTGAACCGTCGCGTGCGCGGTCATTTCGTGAATCGTATCGGAGACTATTTTTATACATATTGACATTTTACGTTTATATTGTTATAAATAGGTATTATTATAAATTATTTTCTCATATTCTACAATAATAGATGCATTTTGTATTTATTTTAATATCGATAATATGACCATTAGTATGTGTACCTACCTACAAAATGTATTGTTATCATTAACTAATTATTTTTTTTTTACATAAAATAAAAATTCTTCTTTAATAAATTGCGTGTCGCCCAGTCTTTAAAAATACAGTCAACTAGGCGACAAAATATCTTCACTAGGTGACATTTGTGTCGCTCAGTTTACTAGCTTAAAAAATGCACTGATTCATAATATAGGTTTTACGTGTCTAAGTTTTATATAATATAATTTCTATTCAAACTAACGTAACTAAAACTAAACTTAACCTACAACTAACATGAAATTTCAATAAAAACAAATATTTTATTATTATAAATCTAATTTAACAATTGGTTTTTTAATCCTTTTTGGATATCTTACATCCTCAGCGTTCTCAGTTTCAACTATATCCTTAATTTCCTCAGTCTTTTCAATTTTATCTAAATCTTTAGTTTCATTCATATCCTTCAGTCATATCCTTCTTGGTCTATGTGTCTCTTATGAATTGTACCGTTTCCTAGTTCGATTAAATACAATACACTACCTACTCTTTGTTTGATCTTTCCTCTAATCCACGTGTTTGTTGCATATTCCCTCACTAGTATAATTTCATTTATTTCAAACTCTCTCAACAGGGTTTTACCCTCCAATTGTTTTTCCTGATTATCAAAGACACTTAATCTAATATTAGGCTTGAGTATGCCAAATCTAGAACGTAGGTTCCTACCTAACAATAACTTAGCCGGACTTTCTTTTAATCTTTTTTATGAAGGTTTTAATAATTTTTACACCACTTTCTGCCTGTCAATTGCTTTGGGGATAGTAAGCAGAAGATGTCCTGTGACCTATTCCATTATCCCTTAAAAACTGTTGGAAATGTACAGAAGTAAAAGGTGGGCTATTAGCTGTTACTAGGTATTCAGGTAACCCATATCTTGCAAACAAGTTCCTAAATATATCTATTGAATATTGAGCTCCTGTCGCAGGGACTTTAAATACTTCTAGCCATTTTGAGTATGCATCCTCTATAATTAAAAATAGCTGTTCTTTAAATGGACCTAAAAAGTCTGCATGTAGTCTTTGCCAAGGATTTTGTGGCCACTCCCATGTATGTATCCTTGTTTTTCCTGGCATGGGTCTAACCTTATTGCAATCATTACATTTGCTGGCAATGTTTTCAATATCTTTTTTTTTTATTATTATACAATAAGGCTTCAACATCAAAGGTCATTAGCCTGTACAATTAAAAAAAAAGAACTTATTGACTATTTAAAGACTTATTGGCTACGTGTAGATTATTACAGTGTTACAATTTGCTTATAAGGTGTGTTTTGGTTAAGAATATAATGATTTTATGTACATTGTTTTCATTAAGCACTTCTTCCATATTCGGTGGTATTTTAAGTTGATTTCTTATGACCTGGTACTTTGAGTAGTCTTGGATGATGTGTTGAACTGTAAGGTCAACGTGGCATTCATTACAAGTGGGTGGAGGGTCTTTGCTAATCAGATGAGAGTGACTTAGAAAAGAGTGTCCAATTTTGCATCTTGTGATGAAGACTTCCTGTCGTCTGTTGAAGTGGTCGGGTGGAATTCATTTTTTTGTATCTTTCTTTATTGGTTTAAGTTTATTGGAGAGGGGGATAGTATCCCAATGATAAGTTCAATATCTTTATCGATGCCTAACCACCATAAATTACCTCTCACAATCGATTTAATTTTAACCACCCCTAAGTGATTATAGTGTAACTCCTCCAGAATTTTATTTTGTATGCTCTTTGGTATTACTATTCTGTGTCTCCACAATATAGTATTTTGTTCTAAGCTCAGCAGTTCTTGTTTATGTCTAAACACCTCTAATTCTTTGTTGACTTTTTCTGGCCAACGGTTTGATATATAATACTTCACTTTACTTAATAATGGATCATTATTAGTCTCTTTTTGAACTAAATTTGCATTTAAAACCTTCATTTCCTCCACATAATGTAAATATGACACTCGAGCACCACATTTTTTTCCTATATCCACTGGCAATCTGGATAACGCATCTGCACTATTCACATTATGGGAGATTTGTTAAAAGTCTATTAGATTTAACTTGTATATACAATACAAGGCATTTTGGTGAAATACTTGTTTAATGATGAAGACATTCATTTTTTTTAGAGAGTTTCTCTAAAGAGTAACTTTTTGGTTTATTTAAAACTATTTTTATAGTGCTTTTTTGTGCTGTAAATTGCTTGTTATGTGCCATTATTCCAGACCACCTCAGGCGGTAATTCCATATTGTACGGTAGATTGGGTCCAGCAGTGTCCAGAATTTCCAGCAATGCTTCCAAGACTACATTCCCGCGTAAAATAATTTTAAAAGTATGGGACCTGTAATAAAGATTAAACATTTAATATTTCTGTACGTAAAACTCGTTATTTATTAATTATCATATGCGCTAACAAGTAATAATATTTATATTTTAATTGTTTACGCAATTATATATGTATTTACATTTAAAAACTAAATAACTAGGTAGTGAAACTTAAAACTATTATTATGATATTAACATACAAAAATATTTCCCGAATTGAAATAATCTAGTCCCCATTGTCGTCATTTTCACTTGAACTGCTTTCGTTAGGATTAATGGTCAATATTATTGATTCTAATATCTCATCCCTTAGTCCCGCCTTGACGAAAGGCCTTAACAAAAATCATTTTAACTTATTTAAATTAATCTGAAATAGTGACTTTTAATATTTAAAAATTTTATTTTTACAGATATAAAGTCCAATTTAAAAAAAAAAATAAAAATGTATTACTTCTATATTCTAAATTATTTGGTGGTTATGGTGTTATCTAACAGATATTTTGCCTTCTTAGTATATTATGATAGGTACTCAAGTCCAGGTTAATCTATGTATAAAGTGCTTGTGCTTCTATGCAGGCACGCAGTCAAGTATTTTAAAGGGGGAGGTTTTTAAACTGTATATTTATAATTGGGGAATGAGCTTCACGAAATTTCAATAATACATTTTATAGTACAAGTACAAATCCCAGCACCAAAATTCTAATAGTTAAAAGGCCCAACAAGGGAAAAATAATTTAAACATTTTAGCAAAAACCGTTTTGTGCTAAAGATAACTAAGTTAAGTTTACTCATTCCATAGATATTGAAAATAGTTAACAACATTTCCGAACTCTTAAGGAAATCTTCTCGATAGTAAATATGGGAAAGGGAAACATTAAGATGTATAATTTTGTTTAACTTCAAATAGTTTTATTCACGGATTTTAAATTCCACCCACATATATTATAATATGATCACAGAACCAATTACCAACTAATGCATTTTGTAAGGAATCGAAGGATTTAGTAGCTGTAAAATATGATTTTAGCTTAAATACTTTCGAACTGAGGGGATGGTCCTCTACTTACTCGCCTAATTGTACTTACTTCGTCCATCCGATGTGACATATGGGTTCTCGGCTTTGCTAACGGCCAATACAAACAAAAATACCAGTAGCAAGTGTGATTGTTTGAACGATGACGAAGATATTGCTTTCATGGTTAACGGTCACGATTTAGGATGATTGATGAATGAAAATAATTATAAGAATAATAATAACGTAGAAAATATTGGAGTCTTACACGTGGTTACGTGGCAAAATACATTTTTTGTAATACGGGAGAAGAATCTCTACAGTGAGAGGGGTACAGAGTCGTAGACAATTATAATACTCGAGACAAAATAAATCACATTTTTACTGATACATACACCTCTCACCAAATTCCGTCTAGAGCTTAGTTTGGCCGCTTCTAATTGGTCGTCGAAATAAATATTACGAATGAACATTATCAGTAGGAGATTAAATGCTAGTAAGACCAGACAGTAAAAAAAAAAAAAAAAAAAAACGGTTTATATCACTTATAAAATAAACGGTTCTTATCAATACATGTCTATTTGGAATAAACGATACAATTGCCTTACCTTATTACTATAGATTAATAATCGATTTTTAGAAGTTGTTACTGCTGACTAAGGCAACCATTTATTAGGCATACTTAAATTACTCGAGTTCTAGTTAAGGAAATATAACTGCCAGATAGCAGTAACTGTTGGTTAAATTTCATTCGTGAATTTCTCAACTGCCAGTTAGCGATATCTTATAGATAAAGTACCGATTAGCTTATTCGGTACAAATTGTAAAAAGGCACTTATACGCCTAGATTCCCCCCTTTTTTATTTTATATAATAGTAAGAATTAAATGTTCAAAAACTAAAAGCAAAATGAAAAATGATATTTTAAAACGTTACAACTTCCTTAAAGTGATAATTTAATATAGTAAAAAATCACAAATAAAATATTTGAGAGCCCAACAGCACTTTAATCTTTTGATACGTCAAAAATACCTATAAATCTCTTTTCAATGTTGTTGTCAACGACGTAACTTAAAATAATACTCATTTGTGATTTGCACGATACATCAGTGGTTTCATCGGCTTGTATAGACACAAACTTTGCACTTTTTAAATCATTCATTATTTTAGTATTAACAACATCTGTAATACAAGCAATTAAATAATTTTGTACATCACTAGACGTTGCTTTAAATTATTATTATTATTATTATTTCGTATGGCTTAGATAAATATTACATTCAATTCACAGTTTAACATAGGTAACATAGTATAAAATAGATATAAATATAAAATAAGAAAGATAAAAATATAAATAAATAAATAAAAGTTGGCTAAATGATAACTAATTATATATGTAATATGTTGACTAGTAATGGATGTGTGAGATACGTAAGTCTTCTATTGGATTTGTGTGTCCAAGGAGTTCAACCATTGCACTGCGCCTATTGTGGCTCTGTGTAGCTCTTTCATTCCTCCTTGTAGTTGTCGAGTATTACAGTCATCAGTAATGTGTATAGCAGTTTGCTTTTCATAGCCGCAGTCACATCCTGGTGTAGGCCTGAGTCCCCATTTATGGAGCATGTGTCCTGTTTTTCCATGACCCGTTCGGAATCTATTTAATGCTACCCATTCCCTTCTCGGGAGGTCAGTGCCNATTTTGTCAGGATTGCTGATTTTCCACTCATTATTCCATTCCGTGTATATATTAAATTTTACTGATATTAATTTTTGGGCAAGCCTCCAGGTAGGTTTTCTGGATTTTAGTCTTACGTTAGGACCAGTGTTTATATCGTTATATATAGGGAGTAAAGTATTTGAGAAGCATTTAGTCCATTCTCGTATTAGTGAGTTGTAACGATGTAGATGAGGTGAACTTAAGTTACTGAGTACAGGCAGCCAAGCTATGGGGGTAGATTTAACCGTCCCAGTGACAATTCTCATAGCAGAGTAGAGTTGGGTGTCTAATTTATTTGTGTGGGCACTTCGTAGCCAAACTGGTGAGCAATAGTCAGCAACCGAAAGTGTAAGTGCTATTGTTGATATTCTGAGGGTATTAGTGTCCGCTCCCCATTCAGAGTTTGCAAGTTTTTGAATGATATTGTTCCTTGTTTTCAGTTTTGCTGCAGTATTTGTCAGATGTTCTTTGTAGGTAAGGGTTCTATCCAGGGTTACGCCGAGATATTTGGGGTGTCGTGTATTTTTAATCACCTGTCCATCGAAATTTATATTGATTTTGTGATTGGCCATTTTATTATTAAGGTGAAATAAGGTTACCTCTGTTTTTATCGGATTTGGCTTTAGTCTCCAGCGTTTAAAGTAATGGTTTAAAGATTCAAGGTCTTTATTGAGAATTGTCTCACATAGGTCAAATGTTTTTGCTTGAGCTACCAAGGCTATATCATCAGCGTATATATATATTTACCGCTGTCTGTGGGTGGTGTGTCATAAGTGTATAAGTTAAATAATAGAGGTGCCAGGACTGATCCTTGTGGAAGTCCATTGTTCAGTGTTTTTTGTTTGCTTTTGGAATCGCCAATGATTACTTTGAATAATCTATTGCTTAGCATATTGTTTAATAAATTACCTAAAGTTTGGCATGGTATAATTCGTAGAAATTTAGCAATCAATCCTTCTCGCCATACAGTGTCATAAGCGGCCGTCAAATCGATGAATGCTGTCGCGGTTTTAAGCTGTTTTTCGAATCCATTTTCAATTCTAGTAGTTAATGCAAGAACCTGATCGCAGCAGTTTCTTGCTGCTCAGAAACCTGCCTGTTCTATAGGGATAACAGAGTTTATTGTGTCTGAGATGCGATTGTAGACAAGACGTTCGAGGAGCTTGTATCCAATGCTGAGCAAAGCAATTGGCCGGTAGCTTTGTACTTCATTGCTAGGTTTGCCTGGTTTAAGTATAGCTAGAATTTTAGTTTTCTTGAAGTACCTTGGGAGTTTGTTGTTGTCTATGATGTCTGAATAGAATTTTGATAGCCATAATCTGACTTTAGGTCCGCTATGTTTCATGAATTCTGGATAGATTTCATCAAAACCAGCTGCTTTTCCAGATTTTAAGCATTTGATTGCATTTGTTATTTCGTTATCAGTAAAATTCAATACTTCGGGGCACTATGGTAAATCGCTTCCACGTAGTGTACCCCGGGCAACGTCCTAGACGGCAAAAGATTTACCAAACTCGGCTCTATCGTACTGTCCTAGACCTCACGATGACACATAACATTCAANGACCCGAGATGTGGACCCCCAGCTCTACATCTTACAACTCAACATAGAGGGCATTAGCCGTAATAAAGCTGAATACTTATCCAGACTACTACATGATAACAAAATAAATGTTCCTTTAAATAAAGAGTTAGACAAAAAATGTTCTTTGAATATTTGTTCTTCTTGCGATAATAATTCTAATAGCTCTAAATAATTACCCTTATTTGATGAGCTTTTTCGTTCGTCGTGTCCCCGGAAAGCCAACTCTTGTTTCCCCAAATAACACACAACATGAATTAATCGAGCTAATATTCGACGATTAATGCTAACTTGTTTATTATATTTTATGACTGCTAAGCGTCGTTCTTTCGAAAGTGCATGATCAATTATATTTTCTTCAAGTAACTGAAATTGTTCCTGGCAAACGAGATGCCTTTCAGAAATAGCATGTTTATTTGCTTTTCGTTCGAAATTTTTCATATTTGACATACCTTCGTGACTCCAGGTTTTCTCTCTTCTTAATAATGGGCCATAATATAGTTTATTTCTTACCTGACTACCAATAAGCCATTTATATTTTGAATACCACACGAATTGAAATTTTCAAGTTGATTTTCCGTCAGCTGTCGTTAAATTCAATATGAGACATGGTCTTTTACTTTTTAATTCAAATTTGTTTTCGTATGAGTAGTTAATAATTCCATCATTCAAAATGGAATTAATTAAATCATCAGCCATGAGAACAAATTACAAATTACAATATAAAACAATAAATAGGTATTAAAAAACACTCAAACACGTACTACGTAGGTACCTATCACGATGGCGTGACAATCGCGATAGTAAACGCCACACAGTGGGAGGAATCAAAGTTTTAGCCGGCCAAAAATATAAGAGCAGGAAAAAAAAAACATAAGTCAGTTTATATTATTCTATTATCTTAATCCTATATTATTATGTTTAAAAAAGTTAAAAAATGATGATAATTGTTTAAAAAAGTTAAAAGTTAAAATTAATCTGAGTCGCTACTTGTTTCATCCTCCTCTCCATTAGACTCATCGTGATCGTTTGCTTCAGACTTTTCAATATGTAATAATATGTAATAATTCAATGGTAGCTGAAGGTAATTTAGTCGGTGGTACTTTAGTCTGAGATCTTAATGCTGTAATTATAGGATCAGATGATATTAAAAGAAAGTTGAAAAGGTCTGTGTTTGTGTTCACGCGTGACGATTTTCTTGCATGTTGTTCACGATACATCTTATAATCTTTATTCCATGACTCATGTGCTTTCTCAGATAATTGTCCAATGGGGACAAGAGCATATTTTATTACTAAAGAGCCATGTATTCATATTTTATGTATGCTCGGTGGCATATGGTACCAATTATATAACTGTACATATAGTTTAGCAGTTTCTTTGGCATACTCATCAAATCGATCATAATTGATTTCATGACCACTAGAAATAACAGTTAATATTGTTAAAAATCTATTAATCAGCCGAACATCGACTCTATTTCATTTTCTTTTTTTATACAAAACTTGAAATCTAATTCAAGCCAGTTTTCACTACTTGTATCAAGGATTACAATATCGATACGTTTTTCATATAAAACTGCCTGCAATTCATTGACGTGGTTTTTTAGGCCGTTGGCATTGAAAAGGGCAATGATAATAGAATTTAAAGTGGGCGAGTTATTTATCATTTTTATTATTTAAATGAGATGAGATAACTTGTGTTAAGAGCGCAATTAACGGGTTAATTATTGATTTAAATTCATCAATAAAGCTTGACATTTTTTTTATCAAAGTCTAATATTGGAGGAGGATGGTTGCCATGACTTGACTGGTTGGAAGTAGCTTGTGTTTATGTTCTCTAGGAAAAAGTCGGAGTGAGGGTACTAGAGTTGTTTGTTTCCAAAATTGGGTAGCTTTCTTTTACAGTGGTATGATTATTAGTTGAAGACTTAAAATTAACATTATCATGTAGAAAGTTACTTTTCTTGTTGGGCTTAGCTCGACGTTGGAGGTCTCTATAGACGTTGCATCCACGATAATTGGCTAGATGGTCGCCCGAGCATAAGGCGCATTTGGGAGGACCATCTCTTGGTTTGGTACAGCGTGAGGAAGAATGTGAGTCTCCGCAGTGAACACAGCGAGTTGGGTAGCCACAATATGACCGTGTGTGACCATAGTCTTGCCAATTGAGGCAATTGACTGATTAACTTCGGTTTGTAGGGTTCTTCAACTTTTATTTTAGTATGAAGAATACTAGGGAGTTTGAATATGTATAAATTGATCATCCTATTCTTTTAAGAAATGTATCAGAGATCTGTATGATTGAGGGTTGGCAGTTTGAATTTTTAGGCGATCAGAAGATTTACAATAAAAATTATCAACCCCGATAAGCTCGATTAAGGCTTCACACGTTTTTGAAAAGTCAATTACGCCTTTTACAAAAATCGGTGGCGGAGGTTTAATGTGATTGATGGTAGATATTTCTGGAGTAGTAGATGTTGAGACAAGGTCTGGTGTAGTCCGGGTAACAGGTTCAGTTTGCGAAAATACTTCATAGCGATAAACCGTTATAAATAATTTGTTATAATTTGTATTTGTATTTGGAATTGTTTTAATAGGATCAGGAGACTTCGGCTCAGATGAGTCTGAAAGATGTATTTTGTTGGACTTTATTGTCCAACCAGTATCCGAGTTATTGCCCATGGTATCATCATCGAGTATAGAACTTGAATCTGAAGAGTTCATCATAGAATTATTTGTAGTATTTTTAATTAAGCAAGCTGCCTGTATAAGCTTATTTTTAGTTTTCACTTTCGGCGATATCGGTATGTTGGAAGATTGCGGAATGTTATCTAGGGAGCTGCTTGTTGCAACGGTAGCACGACCGCGATGGTTTGAGTAAATGCAAAAAAAAAAAAAAAAATAAATAATCAGTTCTGAATTATTCAATTTCCATTTACGAAAAATAACGCCTGAAGACGCACCTCAGTTTTGTAAAGAAAGCAAAAAGTAGACGAATTATAATTCTTTACATATAAAACACGACACATTCGGACACGAAAAAGAAACGGGAACGTGACAATTAAGCGGAGTGTAATAATTACGTGTGCGACAAACAAAGTGCAAACCGCAACTGAGTATAAATAACTAAAAAAAAATTAGGAGAACAACCCAACTACGAGGAAATCGAGAAATAGAGCTAGTGGAAATATGTGTGTAATATAGGTAGGATAATAGTATATAATCATAAGTGCTAGCCTATTGCTGAAGTTGAAAAAAAAAACAATAAAATGTAAAATAACTAAAAATGGGTCAGAATGATACTTTTCTCTTGTTATGTACAGCTAGGATGCTTAATTCAAACTAAGTTCTTATCAGCACTCTTGAAACTAAAATTAGGAAAAAAAAAATGTCTACGCCAACAATATACTAGAGTTATAGGAGGATTTACTAATTAATATATTATAGTTTAAAATTATTATTATAAAAAAGAAAATCAAAATGAAAAGTTTAATGACAAATTATGCTGTAAGGCATCACGGATAAGCTCAACATCGTGGTTTCTAAATTAATGTATAAGTATTCCGAAAATTTAGATAAAAAAATTGCCAACAAATTTACGTATTATTTATTACTCACCATATAATAAAACTTTAGAAACTTTTTCGTTCAACCAGTTATAATCATAACCTAACCTTCATTATAACCTTTGTAAGGTTTCAGCCTCCACCTCAGTACCCACTGTTTACTCTTAGTCACTTACTCATTACCCACTGTTGAGGGGGAACACTCAACAGTGACCTAAAAGCCGGACCAAACACAACAAAGTCGCGTTGGCTGAACTAGTAGGTTTTTTTTTTTGTCATGTTTT